CAAAATCCCCTGCCAGCTGCAAGGGGGGACCTGGCAACCCTAAACTGCTGCCTAGGGTTGCCAACCTCTAAGTGGGGCCTGGAGGACCCCCCCAGAATTACAACTGAACTCAAGACAGCAGAGATCTGTCTCCCTGGAGAAAATGGCTGCTATGGAGGGTGAACTCTGTGGCCTTATACCCAACTGAGGCCTCTCCCTTCCCCAAACACAGCCCTCCTTCCTTACGGTCCACCTCAAAACCTCTAGGGATTCCCCAGGCTGGCCCTGGCAGCCCTTTGTCAGGCCTGGCCCCCAGGCTCCCCCCCTCCCTCCCTCAGAGGCCAAAAGAAGCCAGGAAAGGGCCCTTCCCCCACCCTTTTACTGACAGAGCCAGTTAGAGGCCCCCCCCCAACCCTGAACGTTCTAATCTCTCTCTCACCGTTGATGCCTGGAGTTAGATCCCTGCAGAGGCCATTTCAAAAGGTATTGGGGGGGATTCAGCCATCCCTGGAGGGATTTTTTTTTTACTTTTTTTTTTACTTTTTTTTCTGCAGATACAGGAAGTCTACTGACTATGTAGGAAAAGTTGTTGGGGGAGAGTGAGCCCTCTGTTGGCAGAAATAAGTATCCGCACAACCCACCCCCTGTTGGAATTAGATATATAAATAATCTGTCAATGATTTTGCTTTTCTATTGTGATTTCCACAAGAAAGAAAATCACCGTAATGGCATCTGAAAAGTTATCATTTGGGACTCTCATGCACACCAACATGAAGTGAACTCACTTGCCCCAATCCAGAGGTTACTTGCATATACTTTGTAAGCTAATTGACACATTATGGAGTATATAAACTAGGTATAGGTCAGGGTTCCCACCCTGCGTCCTATGCAGTAGATGTGACTTTCTGAAGACCTGTAGTACATGGTGCCCAATTCAGATCAGGACATGTGGAGAAGAGGCATCAGTATTCCCCCAGCATCATTTTCCTGAGCCAAAACAGTCCTGGAGGGGTACTATTGGGCCCGGTACTACTTCAGGTTTTACCATATAGTTTCTGGTGATTCCTAGTGCTACCTTATGTCATTGGAAGTGGTGCAGTGGTGTGAATGATGTTACCTGGCAACCCTATTCCTTCATGACTACTCAGCCTCAGCACATCCTCAGCTTCTCCTCCAAGGCATTCAGAGTAGTTTATATTTTTACTCCTTTTTTATTTCACAACAACACTAAGCTGTGTGCCATGGCACGAATGAATCCTGTACGCATTGCAAATGAGCAGGGTTCAAACTGGGGTCTCCTGGACCTAAATTCCACACTCCATTTACTTGCTGTTTGGATTATAAAAACCTCATGAGCTCCAAGCTCGAACAATGTTAAGAAAAGTAATATAATTTTGCCATTAAAACGGTGTGCAAATTTGTGGTATGGAAGTTAGGTTGCCAGGTCCCCTCGCCATCATGGTGGGGGGATTTGTGGGGCATTCTGGGGGTGGGCAGAACATTGTGAGTGACGTTCCCAATGTGACGACTTCACCTGGAGGTGATGTCATCATGTCGGCAACGTTGTGCATGATGCTCTAGTTTTTGGGCAAAACTCTACGGGGTTTTTGCCTTCAAAACCATAGAGTTTGCCCCAAAACCAGAGTGTTCCTGTGTGGCATCCCCGGTGTGTTGATGTCACCCAGAAGTGATGTCATCACATTGGGGGCATTGCACGATCATGTAATTGTTTGGGGGTGGGGTTTCCCCCACCAGCCAGCTTGAAGCCCCCAAAAGCAGGGGAACCCCTGCTGGGACCTGGGGGCTGGCAATCCTGTATGGAAGCCACTCTTTATATCAGTTTCCTCAGATACCTATCTGAGTGCCGGATTACTCTCCAAAGAGTAACAAGAGAAGCAATTGGCAATTATGTTGAAGGTGGCACAAGGTCTCCAAGAATGGGGAACTGCTAAAATAGCACAAAATACCTTCAGATAAACCCAGTCTGATTAAAAACTTGTTCTGCACCCTCTGAATGACTAGGATAAAGGGTTGTATTGACACTTGGTTGCAGTGAACTTTGTAACTCATGCCTGGTCTTTCTGCTGAATTATGTTAAATGTGTATTCCAATGAAACGTCACACCGTGTCAATAAGTACTGCCAGAAGGGTTAATTGTACTATCCCAGCTAACAGGAGTTTCTATCTGTAGATCTGAAGGATTTCATCAGAGGCAAATGTTCATGCAAAATACTTAAATATGTATCTTTTGGAAGCACTCTGTCTTCAGACTTGGCATTGTTCTCCCAAGTGTTTCTGGCGTTTAATCCAAATTTGCTTGCCTTTTAATTTATACCAAAATGCTTGTTATCAAAAGATCTACTACCAGTCTTGGCCTGGGATAGGCCTTCAGACCAAGATGGTTAAAAAATATAGGCAGTCATTCTGGGAAGAAGAAGTATATTGGGTTGCCAGGTCCCCCCCGCACACTAATGGGAAATGGGGGGGGGGTAAGGTCGACAGATCCAGGTTGGGAAACTCCTTGAGATTTGGGGATGGAGCCTGGGGAGGACAGGGACCTCAGTAGGGTACAATGCCATAAAGTTCACCCTTCAAAGTATCAATTTTCTCCAGGGGAACTGATCATCGCCCAGACTGGGCGATTAATAAATTGGGCAATAGGGCGATTAATAAATTGAATAAATCATCATCATCATCATCATCTCTGGTGATCAGCTGTAATTCTGGGGGATCCTTAGAAGTACATGATGACACTTTAAAAAATAATTATGAATGTATGCAAGAGTCTTCTTTTGGCTTCCCACCCCTTTGAAATCCTGCACTCCCTGAAATATGCTGTAACACTTCGGTGGGGACACAACCCCTCTCCACAGACTGTGAAAGACTTTACTATAATTCTGCATTTGCAGACCCATGATTTCATTGACATATTCCCCCAGCATTAGACTTAAGGAAAGCATTACTTCTAATTCTTCATGTATTCTTCACGCACCAGAGGAAAAAAATCTCTGCCTTTGGAGACAGATGTCTCTTTTTATGTAAATAAAACCTGCTCACCTTGTCACCCAAAGGCAGTTAACTGTCTCGCTGTGGACTTTAATGGCTAAATATCGTAATTGACAACGAACTTGTGGGTGGGTGACCTTGATTTAACTACCTTGAGTCCACAGGAGGGTTATTTTTGTGCTTGCAGAGTTTTAGACTAATATGGTTTTGTTGTTTCATAGACGAGCACCAAGCATTAGAGTAGATTTGGCTGTTTATCAAGCCATTACTATTATTTTCAAAATGAACAGCACATAGAGAACGCAACGAGTTTCATTCCACCATCCCTCTCATACTCCCAAAAAATCATTAACTTGGCTGCGACAAGTTTTTTTTCCATGATATATGATAATGAAGTAATAAAATACATAAACCTCTTATCTAAACCAACATTTGGAAGCTACATTTATATGGCTTTGTGTAGCATCTGGGTTCTTCTGTGCCATTTTTGATCTGTTTAGAGAAGCTGATTAAATTTAAACACAAAGGAAATAGCAAACTCTTCCCCAATGAGAACAGCTTAGCATTGCTTCGAGTAAAATATATGCAAAACACCAACAGATAGTTTATAATGAATTATAACTCCAAAGATGTGGGTTACATTTTTCATGTATTTTAGGCTACAGATCAGATGTAAGCCTGAGTTGTGTGTTCTGCAATGAGAGCTGTGGATGATTTTGTTTTATTTTGTGGTTTGACCTTAGGATACAACAGCGCATGTGAAACAGAAATTTTCAATATGCAAGTGTATCTAGAAAAACGCCCCATCCAAGAAGTTTCTCATATTACTTTTTAGTTAAAGACTAGTGAACGCTTTAGCCTTGGCTGCCTTTGGAATGGAAGACTTGGTAGAGCCAGAAATGGGATTTGTCCTGAACACTGTGTGAAGTTTTCTTTCACTTCTCTGTAACAGTTAAACCATGTGCTGACATCATAACATTGTACGCTTTGCCAGCAACAGCCAATTAAGTGAGCAGGGGACAAGGAGGTAAAAAAACCAGGGGTCAGGTTGTCCTGGGAGTCCAAGAAGTCAGGTTTTTCCACCTGCCACATTTTGTTCTCGTATAAGAGCAAGGGAACAGCCCACATAATACCTGATGATCTGAACCTTGGCTGGAATCTCGGAGCTTCAGTAACAGCTAGAAGCCTCTCTAGGAATTCGTAACTGCTTGTGTTAATGCTTGGCTCGACTCAAATTAGAGTAGACTGCCTCCTGCTGCAAAAGAGCACTGTTTTCCAAAGGGAGAGAATCTGGATTTCGTTTCCCTGTTCTGCTCCCCTTAAGCTTCCTTCCCTCTCTTTCCCAACATGTGTGTGTTTGGAGGGAGGGAAGTCTTTGGGTTGCAATACTGGGAATACTGAAGCCATTTCAGTTCAGTGGAGTTTATACTTTTCTCACTGTTTGTTCACCACCTTTCTTCTCCTCTATTCCAGAGAGCTAGTTTGGTGTAGTGGTGAAGAGTGGCAGGACTCTTATCTGGAGAACCGGGGGTGATCCCCCACTCTGCCACATGAAGCCAGCTGGGTGACCTTGAGTCAGTCACAGCTCTCTCAGAGCTCTCTCAGCCCCACCTACTTCACAGGGTGCCTGTTGTGGGGAGAGGAAGGGAAGGTGTTTGTAAGCCACAGCAAGACTCCTTCGGGTAGTGAAGGGCAAGGTATAAAGCCTCCTCCTCCTCCTAAATGTTATTTAAATGTGTTAGTGGGAGCCCAGAGGGAACCTTTTATCTTGAGGACCAATGATGGCTCTCAGAAGCCATCATGTCTTCTCTCACAGATAAATACGGACAGTGTCATTCTCAGATTGTGTGTTTGTGCATTTTAAGACACTGGAACAACGAAAGTTTCTGTGTCTTTGAAAAGCAACATAAAATCACTTCTGAGTTAGATTGGACAGCCAAGGGTGAAGTTGATTTCATATTAATGTTACCCTGAAGGCCACTAATTATTATGATGACGAATGCCGCATCGTTTACCTGTACATGCTGGTATTGGAACTGTGTATTCTGTGATGAGACGGTTTCTCCTTTTTCAAATTGGTTCTTCACGCTTGCTAAGCCTCCAGGTATCCTGCAAGCCTCTGATTCCTCCAGAGCCTGGTGAGATAAACAAAATGAACTTGTTTACTAAGTGTAGTAAAAAAAATTCAGAGTGCTAAGGGTGTTTGCGTGCCCCTTAATTTTTCATTTCAACCATAAATGCACTTATTTTTATGTGCACAACTTGTATACTTTGGAAATGAATAGTTACTTGGTATTTTTCCTAACTACAACTTGATGGTGCCAGATCTTACCATTACACCGTTTCATTTTGTTAGTTTTTTAATATATATATATATCCTTTTTTTTAAAGAGAATGCAAGAACATTTTAATTATTAAAAAGTGTACAAAAGGGAAACATGGAAAACATTCATAGGCAATTTTCAGAAATGTGTGTGCTACTTGGGTAAAGTGGGTTGAAGCACTTTCTGGGTCAACTTCACTAATTTTATTCCAGCAGCACCTCATTCACATACATTTCTCCATAAGTCATGACAAACTTATAACAAAGCAAAATCCATTAACAAAATAATATCAGCAAAATACTTAAAATATGAATGAGCTATACATTATCGAGATTTCATTCTCAGAAGCTCACTGTGGTATTATTACCTCATTGATTTAAAAGATTAAAGGCATACTAACAATAAGCAGTCTTCAGAATCCCCTAATCCATGGCTTTTTCAGTGCCATTAACAACTTTATACCATCAGGTGTTCAGAGACAAGGAAGAGATTCTGTTGTTATATAGCTATAAATTAATCTCGTTTCAAAACCAACATGTGAGGTCTCAAAGGCCTCTTCCATAATGCTAAAGGATTAGTGCAATAATGTAGACATCACTTGGTGTTTGGGAAGAACTGTGATCAGGCACTGATTATGGAGTCAGAAAGCAAGTTAAAAGCCAAGCCTCCGTTGACAAATTGGAAACCGGAGATTCTAGTGAGATCCAGAAAACCTCCCTTTCCAAACCTTGGCCATTTGCAATGCATCAGGAGCTACTTAGTTCTAATTATGAGAAATCACGAACAATTAATTTTTTGGGGGGGGGGATTGGTCCTTGTCTGTCCTGTTATACTGTCAAGTCTTGACAGCAATTTGTTTTAAACAAACAAAATGGACTAAACCCCAAGCAGACTTATGACTAACCACTGCCAATCGGGATGTCCCCATTACTCATAAAACCTTCTTTTGTTTATGTCAAATTGGTCTTAACATCTTGTGAATGGAGGGACCATAACAGCAAGTGTACCATTAGGTATCTTTATGGTAAACACTGGTTATGGTTTCAAAAAACTGCCCTTCTGTCATCTCCAGGGTTTTAGTCCTTCTCTGCCTCTACCTGGCAGGAGGAGCAGGAGAAGGAAGAAGAAGAAGAATTGGTTTTATACCCCACTTTTCCCTACCACAAGGAGTCTCAAAGCAGTTTACAATCACATTCCCTTCCTCTTCCCCTTGTGAAGGTGGGTGGGGCTAAGAGAGTTCTGAAAGAACTGTGACTGGCCAAGGTCAACACCAGCAGGTTTCATGTGGAGAAGTGGGGACTCAAACCTGGTTCTTTCAGATTAGAGTCCACCGCTCTTAACCATTACACCATGCTGGCTCTCTCACCTGCCTCTTGTTTTCTCTACTTAAAGTAGCCTTAATCTCCTGGATCTCTATGTGGATTGGTTCTGTTGCACTGTGAATGATCCACATATATTCTCCCTCATATATGGCAGAATCAAACCCGTATTGAATTATATACTCCTGGTGTGGAAGCCCAGACTTCAGGGAGGCTGTTTCACTCATCCCTGACTTGTCGCTCCTGAACCTGAGGGTTTTTCTTCAGGAGTGAGTGGGATGCATTTCATTCAGTAGTGTAGTAAGTTCTTTGCCTAGGAGTATATTAATTCCATTTGTTTCTTACACACTGTTCTATTGTTTAATAACAACTAAAGGGCAGATGGGGGTGACGTGTCTGACTCTGTAATACAAGTTTGATAAATCTGCACGTTTAGTCCACACATCCTTGTATATTAAAACTATGAAAAATAGATGAATGCTCACATTACAAATGTCCATTGTGCACTTGATTTTCTAGAACTGCAGGGAAATGATTTATTTTCAGATCTCTTTGTGGGATTTTTCAAGACAAAAATATGTTTTGGACCAGAATATGTTCACTCAGGGACTTCACAGGTCCAAGGCTGGGGAAGTAACTCACAAAAAATGTCTTCTTTTCTGATTGCAGGTCCTACTTATGGTGTTGGGTGCCAGCCCACCATATTTAATAGTGTTTCTAAATGCAATTCATTGTAAAGTTGCCAATCTCCTGGTATCACCTGGAGATCTCCTACTGTTACAACAGATCTCCAAACAACCAAAAACCCCAGGAGAAAATGGCTGCTTTGGCGGGTGGAGTCTGTGGCATTAAACCTGCTGAGGTCCCTCCCCTCCCCAAACCCCACCCCTAAAGTCTCCAGGTATTTCCTAACCTAGAGCTGGCAACCCGATTAATCCAACACAGCATTCGTGATAACTCTACCCTCCATCACAATTCAGCTATTTCCTGTTGATCACCACTACCTACCAATGAAAGTTACAGTGCAGGATTGTCTGTTTTTGGAAACCGTCAAAGTCAAGGTGTCCTTTTCTCCCCTTTGCTCTCCTCTTAGAGTTGAGTCTTTTTGTTGCATTCCTTACAATGAGGTTTTCACAACAGGGCACTAAACAACTGAAGACACCAGGATCTGACATATTTCTTGAAAACACTGTAGCAGCTAGTAGTTCGGTGGGGAATGTAATTTCTTTGAAATGTCCAAGTCATTTTGGGTAGCTAGTACATACATCTGAGGAGCAACTAGGCATGTCCTAACAAAACAGCCTTGCTTTCCAAAGGATGCAAAAGACATGATGTTATGTTTGAAGATCTATGTTTTGGCAGAGCAAATGTGAAGAGCCAGTTATATTAGCAAGTGGCCATTTCATGCATGCCTAGCACAAGCCAGTGAATTTTCCATGATTTGTGGTGGGCAATTTTAGTCACACACTTTAAGCTATCCACTGGATGTTACTTATATAAAGGCCATCAGCAAATATCCCCTGTTCTTTCAGATATCCTGTTCAAGCAAAAGTAGCACTGATTTCAGTGTTAGCTTGGACTAAGTCTGGAGTCTTTAAATGGCACAGCACATTCAATATTCAGTTAATTTATAATGCATAGGTATCTAGAATTCTTAATATAGTCCTTCCATTTTAAGAGAGATTACAGGTTTCCATTAAGTCCCCTTTTTAATTATAGAAGATCTCTCTGTCACACAAAACCCCTAGTACAATCTATTCCAAGTGAAAAATAGAAGAGAAAATTAATTTTATTTACTATATATTTACGCACTGCATTTTCCTTCCCTCACAGAATTCAAGGAGACATGAATAAGATTTCCAGAATCCACTGATCACACCCAGACCTGATTGGTTTCTGCAAGGCTGCTGTATCAGGGGACATGAAATAATAGTATTGACTAACCATGCATGGAACGCCAATCCATTCCTAAGAACAAAAAGGGACAAGGGGCCACATAATCTCTGCTTACAGCCATTTCACGTACGGCACCAAAATGATGTAACTCCCCTCCCCCGGGATATTTGTTTGTCCGTTTCTATTACTGACTACAACCAGTGAGTGAAGACCTTTTTTGTTTTGTTTAGTGTTTCCTCAGTGGTCCCTTCTTTCTGCCTTGTGTTTTAATTTGCTGCCTTCTGTTTCGTATATGTATTTTAGCTCCATTTTTCACCAGTTTTATGCTCAAATCCAATCCAATCTTTATTAAAATGGTCATAGACCAGCACAAGTCACAGTTTGCATAAATCACGATAAAGTATAGGTATGACATAGTGGGTAAACAATAATTAAATAAGCGAATAAGTACAATTATTATTAAAATTCTTCAATATGCAAAACTTTCTGACGGATTTTGCAAGCTGCTGCACAAAACTTCATACTAAGAGCTGACACCTGTGGGTTTTCATCTATAAGTAAGATTCTTTCATATACTGAAACTGAATGGCCAAGATGACTGCTAAGAACAAAGAGAATAAACTTAGAGCGAATCTCTTGATAAAAAGGACAGCACGAAGTAATACATGTTCTGTAGTTTCAGTCTCCCCTGAACTACAAGGGCAAAACCTATCTGCCTTGGGAGCCCTTTTGTATTGCCCCTCCAGAACCGCAGGAGGGAGTGCTGGCCATCTGGCAAGGGAAAATGCCTTCCATTAACTAGGAATCTCCAGTTAAAAACATAGACACATAGGGCTGGAAGGGACCACAAGGGTCATCTAGTCCAACCCACTGCACAATACAGGAAATTTAGAACTACCTCCCCCAGTGACCCCTGCTTTATGCCCAGAGCAGGAAAAAAACCTCCAGGGTCCCTGGCCTATCTGGCCTGGAATAAAATTCATTCCTGACCACAAAGTGGTGATCAGCATTACCCTGGGCATATAAGAAAGGGCCACAGGAGCTGAAAATTGGCTCATCCCTCCCTGTCCTCCCTCTCATGATCTATCTAAGTTCACAGAATCAGCATTGCTGTCAGAAGGCCATCTAGCCTCTGCTTAAAAACCTCCAAAGAAGGGGAGCCCACCACCTCCTGAGGAAGACTGTTTCACTGGGGAACTAGTCTGTCAGGAAGTTC